AGTTCCAAAAATTGCGCGGACAAGACAAACCGAGCCGTTCAGGACCTCGCCTCTCGCACCGCCGCTACGAGAAGGGCGGCATCGGCTCCAATCGCTCCACGGCGGGCGACGCGGGCGGTCCCCGATCATCAGGATCGTTCAGCCACCCAGCAAGCCATCCATCAATACCCTGTCGGAGAACCCCTCTGGGGAGGACCTCTCCCAGACCGTGCCGAGTGGCTGGGACGCGGGCATCGTCGGGTTCCGAGCGAAGGGCGGCATGATCACGAAGTTGTCTGAGGGCAGCCGCGCCAGGGGCTTACGTGATGTCGCACAGCAGGCTCAGGCGCCCCAGCTCAACGCGCGCATCGCCGAGTTTCTCCCAGACATCAGCGTAGGAATGCGCCGAAGTGCGGGACCAGTGTCCCAGGGGCGATGTTCGCCATTGAAAGTTTTGGCTTGGAATGTAAGAAGCATCGAGCATCAACTCAACGTTTTTTTGCACCGAGCTGGAAAATTGGGGTCGTTGGAAAGATGTTGTTCCTGTCTAGGAGGCGGCGTGTTCAGAACACTTCTAGGTGAGTGCCATGGACGGGGGGCGCAGTCCTTCTGCCTCAGGCTCCCATGAGGGGCGCATGAGGACCGTGATCGTCGTTCATTGATCTGTCCAGGGAGAGGCCAGCGCTGCCTTCATACTTCGGGGAGAAGCTATGTCCGTGGCCGACTGCAGAACATCCTCATCATCAGTGCCCACTTACTTCAATGCCAGATCGTCAAGGAGTGTACCGCTAGCCTTGGTTATGTAAACGAATGAATCGCAGAGAGCACCCTCGACTACCTCGTGATTGGTTTGGGCGCCCAGGCTGCGCTTGGTGACAGACATGCTGCTCCATGGGTTGGTCCTCATTTTCTACCTCCCGCCGCGACCTCATCGCCCCCCACTTCCTGGATTTTGTAAAAGGCCCACGACCTGGGCCCCCCCCCAGCACCGCGGAAGACGTCCCAGGGACTACCGGACATGTCACTATGATTACAAACCCCGTTTCCCCCAGCAGATCGACTAATTGGGATTCTCCCGCGACCTACTGGACCAACGCATCGGGCGCTCAGTTTCATGTCTGGCTTCAGCGGCGACGGGGCCAGACTACCGGCCCATCTTAGATTCGATGCAGGATTTCGAGAGCCGGCTGCCGCTTCGTTCTACGCGCACGGCGCGCTTTTCGGTCGGCTGGCAGATGAGACAGCAAGTTCCATGTCCAAATGTGCAACGAGCTCGAGCTCCTGATGTTTGAGGAACAGGTTTCGGACACCACGACGGACCCCAACGCCGGGCGCAACTGGGCGGACGGGAGCTGGTCCAGGGGACGGAGGATACCGGAGAGGATTAAGGCGAAGGTTGGACGGGCATTTGCGGTGTTTCCACAGGGGTGCGATGCGCCAGCTTCTAGATCGCAGTCTGTAGATCGGCCCGTTGGACTTAGCCCAGGACGATTCGCAGCGCAAGTCCTTCCTCGGAGCGGCCCGACGCACGAACGGCATCGCAGAGATTGCTGCGCTGATCGAACTGCGCACTTACTTTTGAAAGCAGGTCCAGATAAGGCTGGCGATATCAGTCTTACCAGGTAGTCGCTAGCGTCATCGATGGTACCGATGCCCACCCCCTTAGGGGACTTGATCGTCGTTCGGTTGGATGCCAGGTGACCAGGTGTGCCCTGCTCGCCGCCGAGAGAGCGATGCCACCGACCGAAAACGGTTTCTTCGCTTAGCTCGGTCGACATCTCGTTCAACAAGCTCGTAAATAATTCGAACAGTACCGTCTGGAATCGATCGCGCGCCGACAACGCGAGTCGAGCTCGCCAACTATCTCGCCAAACAGGAGGCTCGCAGCCACTCCGAGGTGCCACGCTGGGTTCGCCTATGTCAGGTGCTTTGGTTTCAAGACGAGCATGCCCGACTGCCAGGGGAGCTCAATATTGCCAGGTGCCGACGCACGAAAAGATGCAACGCCGGCGGTAAAGGCTAGACGTCAGTCGCCCTGCGCCCCTGGTCGGGGACCGCTTGGAAGCCACCCTTCCTGAGCCTCTTCCTCGGGCGGGCGTCGACGGAAAACAGCCGCCCTCCCTGGGCCAGTTCGCGAATGAGGTCACTGGCGTTGCTTCGAGATGTAGAAGAGGCTGACTGACTCGCGAGGCGGGCCCGCCTTCGGAAAGGGCGAGGGGCCTGCGACGCCAATTGAGAGTAGAAGCGCAAAGCCGCGCGCGTGCCGACCTTCCACGCGAGAACGCAGATCACTGGAGCATGGCCGACGTCGAACCCCAACGAGGCCCTCAAGACAGAGCGTTTTCCTGGACGTCCACAAGCACGACCTCGCATCCTCACCTCGAACTCCTGAGCTGGCCCTGAGACGACGCCATTCAAAATGGTGCCGCGACAGGAGAGAAATCCCAGATGGCGACGGAGTTGCGCTTGGACTTGCTCGGAGACACCAGCCCCTCAGCGACCCCCTCGCCCCGTCTCTCGGGCCCGATTTCGATGGCGACAGAAGAACCGCAGGGGCCCCATCGCCATCCGGGCCCATCCGCGCCGGGCTCATTCCGCATGCCTGATAGGGGATGGGTACGAGGTGCGCTTCAGAATGTGGAACTTGGGAAGCAGACTGGCTCTGAACAGGATGGGGCGGTGGTGGACATGCTGAAGAAGTTACCAGAGCGAGCTTTTGAATGCGCTGTCGACTTATTCCGATGTCGGATTCCACATGCTCGCGGGTACCAGGAGGGCAGTGCATGGGGGGCTCACGCAATCGGTTTGCTGACGAAAGCTGGTTTCGCCAAGTCAGGAGGCATCGCGGACTTGCGCCCGATCGCGCTGACGCCTGTCATTTACAAGCGGCACAGCTAGTCGTCGGCGCTGCTGCTGACCTCGAGCAGGGAACGCACTCCAAGTTTCAATTACAGTTTCCGAAAGGCTTTCAGGTTGAGGAAGTCATGATCGCATGGGAACAGCTAATCGAGAAAGTCATCGGGTGGGGCCCAGGGAACCTGCGATTCACCTTCGCATGGGGATATCCTTAAGACATGCGGATATACCGATCAAGGGAGAGTGGCGGAGGCGAGAGTGACGCCCGGGGTGCCGAAGATCCTGCTAGCGGCGTGGCCGCGGCAGGCAGCCGAGAAGCACGCGACTGTCTCACTCGACGACCTCGCATGCCTGACTCCGGTTTGCAGGAAGAGACCATTGGCGCAGGGGGATATTGCCGCCCGTTTCCTTTTTTACCTGTGGCTCAACATCCTGATCGATAGGTTCGTTCGGAGATGCGAGCAGTGCGATTGGGGTTTCCGCTGGCAGGCACCCACCGACCGATCCCAATGTTCATTCGTTTGCAACGCCCCTGCTTCGCAGGCGGCTCCTGGGTCCTGGGCGTGAGCCGCCTCGAAGTGGAAGTCATGTTGGAAAGTGTGTTGCTGATTTTAGCAGAACGTGGATGCGCCGTGGACCTCTCAGAGCGTCAGTGTCCGTCTTGTCCAGAGGCCGCCTGCTGGAACGGAACCTCTCGGATCCTGACCCAGGAGGTTCGGAGGATTCTGGGGGGCGAGGGCATCGAAGTTCTGGGACCATGATCTCGCGCGACGGACGTGATGAAACAGTAATGGGCGATCTGATAAATGAGGCGTAGAAACATGGTTTCGATGGCGGCCCGCCCGTTGCTGGCGCCGCGCTCCTCTTGCGGAGTGTTTTTTTTGTTTTTCCCATTGCGCCATCGCAGGTCACAGCAGCCTGTTCTCGGGAGCCAAGGTGTGGGCGCTCAGAAAAGATTAGTTGGCCAAGCTTTGTGCTCCGCAAGGCACCATGCGTCGGATAGTGTTCGGTTTCACGAAAAAACAGCCACGATCCGTGGGACGCGCTCACGATCCGCACCTATCGGAAGATTAACAGCGCGCGACGGCAGCTCGGAATGCTTGATTGGGGCGAATTCCTTACCTGATAGATGAGTGAGAGACCCTGCCCGCCTCCCCACGCAGGTCCTCCACTTTCGCGACGCCAGGTTTCTTCGCGCTCAGGAGCTTGCGCGCGGGCGAGGCCGCCATGGCCACACACAAAAGTTCCGCCCGTGTAGGCGGGTTGTGTTTCTTTCTCCCGACGTTCGCCTCGTCCAATCTTGGAACACTGAGCCCTGGAAGCATGGCATGAATGATGTAATCGACTGGCCCTCTCGTGCACTTTGTCATACGAGTTTTCCTTTCGCGCCCGATTCCTCCTAGCTCTGTCCAGGGCCGAGGCTGTTACGAGGTGCACACCTACATACATACATACATACATGCATGCATACATACATACATACATACAGACAGACAGACAGACAGACAGACATACATACATACTTACACACATACACGCATACATGCACACATACATGCACACATGCCTACATGCATACATGCATACATGCATACATACATACATACATCTGTCCATACATGCATACATGCATACATGCATACATGCATACATACATGCATACACACACATACGTGCATGCATGCATGCATGCATCCATACATACATACATACATGCATGCATGCATGCATGCATACATGCATACATGCATACATGCATACATGCATACATGCATACATGCGTACATGCATACAAACAAACAAACATACATACATACATACATATATACATACATACATACATACATACATACATACATACATACATACATACATACATACATACATACATACATACATGCATATACATACGTATACATATACATGCATGCATGCATGCATGCGCGCATACATACAACACATCATCATCATCATCATCATCATCATCATCATCATCATCATCATCATCATCATCATCATCATCAACATCATCATCATCATCATCATCATCACCATCAGCATCACCATCATCATCACCATCATCACCATCATCATCATCGTCATTATCATCAGCACCATCACCACCATCACCATCATCAATAGCACCATCATCGTCGGCGCCCCAGGGAGAAGGGCCGCTACGTGGTCGACCTGGATGACGGTGATCGCAGCTTGTCGCTGCGCGCCGCCAACCTGCTGCAGTTGCTGCCCCTGCGCGTGCGCGCTGCCGACGAGGCGCCCGCGGCAGCGGCGCAGAAGGAGGAGGGAAGGAGGATGAGGGCGGAGAGAAGAGGAGGAGGGAGGAAGAAAAGGATGATCGAAGAGGACGGAGGAGGGGAAATAGGAGGAGGAGGAGGAGGAGAAGAAACAGGAGGAGGATCGGGAGGAGGAAGACGACGAATACCAGTGTAAGTGATTGTTGCACCAAAGATGCTGCAGCGCATAAGCCCGTCCCAGGTTCCCCCTCCCCGCCCGTGCTTCGAACATGTCCTTGTCGTTGCGAGGAGCGCCGCTGCGACAGTCGAGCACCACATGGGCTGGCCATTCGGGCGAGACCCCCGTCTTGGAAAAGAAAAGCCCTCGTCCGCGCCACGGTTGCGCAGGGCTACGCTGCTGGTCTCTCGAGCGCAGGGCCGGCTCCCCACGGGAAGGAGGGAGCGCCTCTCTCCGCCCGTGGAGCTCTCCACGCAGTGACGTGTCATGCCTCGGCTGCTGCACGTAGGGAAGCAAGAGGAGGAGGAGGAGGAGGAGGAGGAGGAGGAGGAGGAGGAGGAGGAGGGGGAGAGGAGGAGGGAGGAGGAGGAGGGGGAGAGAGGAGGAGGGAGGAGGAGGAGGAGGAGGAGGAGGAGGAGGAGGAGGAGGAGGAGGAGGAGGAAGCAAGGTAGAACAAGGGTTTAGGGAAGCAAGGGAAGCAAGGGAGCAAGGGAGAACCCACTGTTGCAAAGGAACCGTCCTCCATCCGTGTAGCCGTTGCGAGTTTTGTAATCGAATGCGCGCGGCGCCAAGGCGAGGCCACCCCTGCAGTTGCCCCTCAAGCTTTTCGGCGACTGCGCGCGGTTCTGAGGCGTGAAACGCGTTTTGAATACTGCCGGCCCGCCATCCGTGTATTTGTTTCAGGGTTTGGCGAATTTGTGCAGCGCTAGGCTGAGAGCCGTATTTTGGAAACGATTGGTGTTCTGTCCGTGTAGTTGTTGGAGTTGTTGGAGCTGTTTCGTCAGAGGTCCGTAAGTTGTAAGGAAGTCTCAAGCGAAGCGCTTGGTTCGGCCTACAGGCGCGCGCGGCGGTTCGACAGGGGGGCATTTATAATGAAGGGTGGTGGAGGATGATGAGGACGAGGAAGAGAGGGTGGGGGACAGTCGGGGGGAGGGAAGGAGGGGTGGGGGCAGGGATGACGGAGGGAGGGAAGGAGAACGGAAGGAGGGAAGGAGGAGGCTGATGATGATAAGGAGGAGGAGGAGGAGGAGGAGGGAGGAGGAGGAGGAGGAGGAGGAGGAGGAGGAGGAGGAGGGAGGAGGAGGGAAAGAGGATGAATGAAAAGGGACAACGGGACGAGCAGGAGGCGAGAGGAGGGTGAAGAGCTGCAGAGGCAGGAGCATGCAGCGCGAGGGCAGGCAAGGGTCCTGCGGGGGCAGAAGGCAGGGGCAAAGGCGGGGCCGAGAGGGCGGAGGAGCAGCAGCAGGAGGAGGGCAGGAGATAGAAAAGGAGGAGGAGGAGGAGGAGGAGGGAGGAAGAGGAGGAGGAGGAGGAGGAGGAGGAAGAAGAGGAGGATAGAAAATGAGGAGGAGAAGGAGGAGGAGGAGGAGGGGGAGGAAGAGGAGGAGGAGGAGGAGGAGGAGGAGGAGGAGGAGGAGGAGGAGGAGGAGGAGGAGGAGGAGGAGGAGGAGGAGGAGGAGGAGGAGGAGAGGGAGCCCGTCGTACTGCGCAGTTTCGTGCCCCCCTCTCCTTCTGCCGACCTGGGCACGTGGAGGGAGGTCGCACAGGTGCCTGGCCACCAGCAGCGGTGGCAGGGCGCTGCGATGGGCGAGGGACGCCGCGCGGCAGTGCGGGGGAGGAGCCGCAGCGGCAGCGGCACCCATTGGTCGTTGAAGGTAGGTATTTTTGGAGTCCCAGGTTCCAGTCTGCTCAAGCGCCTTCCTACTTCCATGATCGCGTGGCTTCCCCTCTTCCGTCCTCCTTAGGGGGCGGACGGAGCCCAAGCTATTTTCAACGCCTCCCTACTTCATGTTTCTACCTACTTTCGGCGTCACCCCAACATACTTATACTATGTGTGCGTCGCCCCCCCCCAGGGGCGACGCGCGCACCGAGAAATCTTATAGTATATGCGTCGTGGCGGGCGCTTTCTGGCCACACCGCTCGGGAAACGATACACTACAAGATTGTATACTACATGTTCGGGTCAGACGCGCGCCTCCAAGGAGGACATATGGCATTAGCACGCCTCTGTGCGTCCCACACCTCTTCCGACCGATCCGATGGGCACGAGGACGGCGGGAGGAGGAGGAGGAGGAGGAGGAGGAGGAGGAGGAGGAGGAGGAGGAGGAGGAGGAGGAGGAGGAGGAGGAGGAGGAGGAGGAGGAGGAGGAGGAGGAGGAGGAGGAGGAGGAGGAGGAGGAGGAGGAGGAGGAGGAGGAGGAGGAGGAGGAGGAGGAGGAGGAGGAGGAGGAGGAGGAGGAGGAGGAGGAGGAGGAGGAGGAGGAGGAGAGGAGGAGGAGGAGGAGGAGGAGGGAGGAGGAGGAGGAGGAGGAGGAGGAGGAGGGAGGAGGGAGGAGGAGGAGGAGGGGGAGAGGAGGAGGGAGGAGGAGGAGGAGGAGGAGGAGGAGGAGAGGAGAAGGAGGAGGAGGAGGAGGAGGAGGAGGAGGAGGAGGAGGAAGAGGAAGAGGAGAAGAGGGCGAGGAGGAGGAGGAGGACGACGAGGAGGAGGAGGAGGAGGAGGAGGAGGAGGAGGAGGAGGAGGAGGAGGAGGAGGAGGACGAGGAATAGGCAAGGACAAGGACGAGGGCGAAGAAGAGGAGGAGTAAGAGCAGCATGAGGATGGCCCACAGCCGTTGTGGATCACGGGGGCGTGCGCGCGCGGCGACGCCGCGGGGCGCCGGACGCCGGGCGATGGCCGCGCACTTCCGTTCCGCCAGCGCGAGGGGCCAGGCCCAGCCTCGGAACCCGCTGCCGCCGCTGCACCCCAGCGGCCCCCGTGCGCGGCCGCTGCGCGGCGAAGCCGAGGCCGTGCCGGCTTCGGCGCGCGAGCGGCGGCGGCAGCCCGGCGGTGAGCTCGCCACACACGGGGAGCTCTCGGCAGAGGCCAAGCACCCGCGGCCGGGGCGCACCGAGGCCGACGCCGAGCCGGCGTCGGCGCGCGAGCTGCGGCGGCGGCCCGAGGCTCAGGCCCCCAGAGACCAGGACACCGAAAAAACGAAAGAAACGACATCCTTTCCTGGAGAGTCGCATTTCCAGCAGTGTTTTTTTTTGCTTGCTGCACTGCAGGACGCGGGTTTGTGTCCGGGTTTAGGGTGGCCTTGTAGGCTTTTGGGGCCCGTGTCCGGGTTTATTCTGGAAGTGCTCCAGTGCAGTATTTTGTTCGTGCCGCCGTCTGGAAGGATTGGTTTCAAGGGATGTTGGGGGCCCGGGCTTGGCGTGTCCGGATTTGCGGGGCCCTGGGGGGCGGCGCAGGGCGAGCTCGCGGCAGAGGCCGTGCTGCCCCCGGCGCTCCATGCCGCCCTGGACGGGCCCTTGTCGCTGCTGGCGCTGGAGTCGTGGCAGAGCACGCACAACGAAAGGCCAGGCCAGCACGCGCCCTTCGAGTCCCAGCTGCTCTCGTGCGAGGCCAGACTGCGCAAGCTGGACCGGCTGGCCTCGAGCATGCGGCCGCCCAACATCGTGGTGACCGCAGTGGCGTGTGATCTGTTACACAGCGTGTTCGAAACGTTGCCCACCGTCTTAAAGCAGCTCTGCCTGGAGCTGATGACGCACCTCGAGTCCGCGATCTACAGCGACGAGCGCGCCAGCGACGCAGAGCTCCAGGAGTTCACCTCTGTGAACGCTCGCAACATCGACCGGGTGCCGTACTTCGCGATCGTGCGGCGGCAGCAGGTGCAAGTCGACGCGTTGGAACAGCGAGCTGAAAAGTTGCAGGAGCAGGTCAGTATGCACCTCAGGAAGCGCCAGCACGTCCTGGATTTTATCATCCGCATGCAGCACGAAGAGCGGCTCAACCTGCAGATGTGGCTTTTCAACTTCTGGGTCATAACCTTCCGGCAGCGGCAGCAGCGGGTCGCCCGGATGGCCAACGTCGTCTTGACGACACCCACGGACGTGGCCACGCCTTTCTTCTCTTGGAAGCTGTTCGTGCTCCAAGGGCGCCTGGAGCGCGCACAGCGGGAGTGCGAATCGGTTGACGCGGAGGCGTCCGAGGTGGCGACGAGGATCACGCAGCTCGAGATCGAGAACGAGAAATCTCAGAAACAGTTGCAGGACTCTCTGGACCGGTGCGAGGTGTTGAAGCAGAAGTGCGACGAAGAGCGCCAGGAGCACGAGCGCCTCCAGAACCTCTGGGACGCGACGCAGCCAGAGCTGTTGATGTCGGTCTTGGCTCAGTCCTTAGAGTTCTTCTTCACCCTCACGATGCGGTCCGCCCGGCTCCACAAGCTCCAGCTGCGACAGGCCCTAGCCTCGAAGGACGTCTCGGTCTTCGTGAAGCAGCTGTGCAGCGAGGCGGACAGTTCTGACGAGGCGCCCGTGGCCGAAGAGATCGTGCTTCGGTGGGTCAATGTGGCGCTGGCCCGTGCTCGCGAGGCGGCGAATCAGCTGCTGACCGAAGCGGCCGACGCTCCCGACCAGCGCGCCGCGCTGGAGGAGGCGGCCGAGATCGAGGACGCCCTCAACCTGGACGAGGACCTGAGCGACGGCGCGGTGCTCGTGGCGCTGGCGGCCGTGCTGCGCGCCGAGAGGGACGGCAAAGCGATCGAGGCGGGCGACTTCGACGCGCTCGAGGAGGCAGACCCGGAGCTGCGCCTCGACCGCGCCTTCACCCTGCTGGGCGGGCTGGCGCCGACGAGGCAGGCCGCGGCGCTGCTGGTGCCCGACGACGTCCTGCTCGGCGTGCCCGGCGGCACCACCGCCGCCTTCCTCGCGTGCCTGCTGCTCCGCTACCCCCTCGCCCCGGACCCGCCGGCGCCCGGGCCGGCCGAGCCGGCCGAGGCCGAGCCAGAGGCCGCCGCGCGGGGCAGCCCGCAGGGCGCGCGCGGCGAGCCGAGCGGCGGGCCGGGCGCTCCCGAGGGCCAGGGGCCCGCGGGCGAGCCCGGCGCGGCGGCGGGCGCGGCGCGGCAGCTGGAGCGGCTGCTGTCGAGCGTCGAGGAGCTGGCCGGGCAGGCCGCGTTCGAGGGCCTGCAGGATCCCACGCTGCTGCTGCACGGCGGAGAGGACGTGCAGGCCCTGGCGACCACCTCTGCGGAGCAGCTGCTCCTGCGCTGGGCCAACGTGCTGCTGAGCTCCGCGTACCACCGGCCAGTGGAGAACTTCGGGTCGGACCTCCGGGATGGTGAGGCCATCTGGTTGTTGCTGGCGGCGGTGGCGCCTGAGGCTGCTAGTAGCGTCAGCGAGAACGCCGACGACGTCGAGCCAGAGGTGAGGCTCGACTACATCATGGCAGCCGTGGCGCGCTGCGTGGATTTCGAACTGTTGACCCCGAATTCCATCATCGATGGGCAGTCGGACATGCTCGCAGCCTTTTTTGCGCAGCTCTTCCTCGCGCGCCCGAGCCTGGAGCCACGGCCAGACTCGTTGCTCGCCATGCACTTGCAGCTCTTGGAGAAGGCGTGCGGGAGAGGCGTTGAGGTGCTGGCAGACCCGAGCGACACAGCCCAGGTCATGAGACTCTGCGTGGAGCTTGACGACAAGTGGCAGGAGATCACACTCGCGGCGCAGACGGTCTATGAGGCAAACCGGACGATGGAGAGCATATCCGATCGCATGCGTACTTTTCTGGGCGACACCCTCGCGCAGCGAGCGCGGGGCCATCCACGCACGATGTTGGACGCGAAGGAGACCCGGGAGCTACTGCTTTACACCCAGCTGAACCCTGAGCACTACTCCGCCTTCGCCTTCAAGGAAATCTCGGAGCCCATGGCCATCAGCAGGGTGGAAGATGTCCTCAAGAAGCATTTCCGCCTGCTCCGGGACGTCTTTCGCAACTATTCGCAGGCGAACGGCAGTGGCAATGGTATTGCTTTGGAAGGGCTCTTGAAGCTCTACCAGGACTGCAAGCTCAGGTGCAGAGACCTCGCGCCACATCACCTGGAAGTCCTCTTCTGCGATCACTTGGACCTCAGCGGCAGCGTGGAGCGGATCCTGACACCCCAGAGCTTCATCGAGGTGATGCTGCAGTGCGCGCACCTCAAGTTCAAGCGCCAGTACCCGCACTTGCCTGACCAGGTCTTGCATTTGATCGGGGACCACCTTGCCCAGAACGGGCTCGCCCAGGAATCTGAGAACGTCTTCCAGCGCATGGCGTACGACCCGCGGGTTCGCGAGGTTCTGGACAGCTACGTCGAGGAGCTCAGGCTGGTCTTCCAGCTCTACGCGACCATGGACGACTCGACGACGGAGGCGATGCAGCGGGTGAACACCATGAACGTCAAGGAGTTTCAGATGTTGCTGAAGCACTGCGACTTGCTGGACTCGACTCTCACCGAGGCGGCAGTGAACCAGGTCTTCGAGGGCATCCAGCAGAACGCCACGTCCGACGAGCTGGACATCGGCGGCGGCGACGGCATCGGTGACGACGAGGAGCTCGCGACTTCAGAGTTCCTCGACGGCCTTGTTGCGATCGCTGCCTACAAGTACCCAGACCCGTTCACGCCGTTCTCAGAGCGCGTGGACGCTTTGGTACTCAGGGTGTTCTCCAACTTACGGAAGCACTGGAGCCGGAAGCGCGTATCTCCACAGGTGGACGTTCTGCTGAACGCGTTGCAGAAGCGTCTGCGGTGATTGCTGCCGATACAGTTGCCCAGTCGGCTCGCACACCCTCTGCTCGTGCTACCTCCTCCTCCGCCTCCTCCTCCTTCTCCTCCTCCTCATCCTCCTCCTCGTCCCCCTCCTCATCGTCATCATCATCATCATCATCATCATCATCATCATCATCATCATCATCCTCATCCTCATCCTCATCCTCATCCTCATCCTCATCCTTATCCCCATTCTCATCCTCCTTCTCCTCCTCCTCCTGTTCCTGCTCCTGTTCCTCCTCCTCCTTCTTTCCTATTCCTTATTCCCATCATGCTTCCCCTCCTGACAGTACAGACTCCCGTCACTCATCTCTTATCGTTGCCCTTCTCTTCCGACCCCCTACTCTCGCCCCCTACTCTGTCCCGCTCGGCCATAGACCTCTGCATGAGGGAGGCGCGTCTGCAGCGGCCGCGCATCGCGCAGCTGGCCAGAACGTGGCCCGCGCGCGCTGTAAAAGTCCGGCCCCAGGGGCGGCGATGTGAGCCCGCCGCAGCGACAGCGGCGGCGGCGGCGGCGGCCCGGCGGCCTTCATCAGGGCGAGGCCCTTGGCGGCGGCGGCGGCCTGGAAGGTCGAAAACCTTGACCTCGGAGGATCGAGAGCCTGCACTTCTTGGAGGGGAGGTGCCTG